ATGTTGATTTACCAGCCGGGTGGAGCTCAGGATCGAGCGCAGCTTCTACGACAGCTGGATGTCACGGAAACATCGGCTGGCCCGATAGAGGCCATCGCCGCCTTGAGAAGATGGTATCGTCTACTCCAACGAGCTGCGGACATTGGCGTCAAGCTTCCGGACGAGTCAATCCAGACTCGTTCCTTGACCACGATCGTCAAGAAGACGGCGGAGGCGTACCCAGACTTCAAGTTTCGGATGGCGCTGGCTCGTACGGAGCTACAGGTGGACACGAGGCCCACTCAGGACAGCGTTATGCGATATCTACAGCACCTACTAGCTGAACTGGAGCATCTAGGTGGGAACAAGAGATCTTCTTCGACAACGGCGGCCACAGCGGGAACTACTTCTACGACAACGGCACCCCCGGCTTCACCGACAACACTCAAGGGAGTGCAGCCTCAAGGAGATGGAGCCTTGAGGCCGAGGCCAAAGGCGACTGGAGACAAGCCATGCAAGTGGTTCACCACAGATGAAGGATGTCGCCGCGGCAAGGAGTGCACCTTCAGTCACTCGTGGGAGGGCCTTCAGCGTTCTGATCGTTGCCTGTTGTGCGGTTCAACAAAGCATCGTATGAAGGAGTGTCCTTCGAAGAAGACCGGTGGCCCGAGCGGAGAAGATAAACCTGGGAAGCCGAATATGGCTAAGGCAGCTGGCGGGGGCTCTCCTTCCGGAAGGGCGGCTTCGCAACAAACTACGTCGCCTCAAGGGGCGGGTGGAGGCGCCAGCGTGACCGGGTCCTCGTCTTCGATGCCATATGTTACAAAGTCTCCACCACCCAGCGCTCCACCGCCGCCGACCACAACTCCTCTGGATCCGGCTCAGGTGACAGAGGTTCTGAGTGAGACAAACCGAGTGCTTAGGGCCCTTAGCGCCCAAACAGCCAAGGCCCCGTCTGGAGTTTCGGCGACTACAGCAGCGGCACCTTCGTTGGACCCTCTGGCCATGATACAGCAACAGCTAGATGAGATGAGGGGTCTCAGAACTTTGGTGGTGAAGGGCGATGCAGGGGAACATGTCGGTTTTCAGAGCGCGGTGTCAATGTACGAAGCGAGGTTGAGGTCGTCTACAAGGGGCGTTAAGGTGGATGCTGAGCAAGAAGCCTTGTTGGACAGCGGTGCAACTCATCCGTTGCGGCCAGCCACTTCACGCCGCGAACTTGAGCAGGCCCAGCAGGTTACAGTTTCCTTGGCTACTGGAGACGAGGCCCAGCTGAGACAGACTGCAGGTGGAACGCTGCTAAATGAGTCTCCTGGTGAAGCTCCAATACTACCAATGGGTCAACTGGTTACCTTACTGGGATGTACCGTTCATTGGAGTCCTTCCAAGCTTACCGTCAATCACCCAGTGCACGGGAAACTGAGAGTTCGCCTGAAGGGCTTTTGCCCGGTGTTGCCGGTCAGCGAAGCTCTTTCTTTGATAGCAGAGTTGGAGTCTGTACG